TACTGCATCTTACCAGTTGATAAACATCTCAAAGTCAAAACAAGTTTCTAGCTGGATGCAATAGCATGGTTTCTTACTGAAAGATTAAAATGTCTTCTGTAAAACATTTTTTTTATTTTGATAAAGAAAACTTAAGTATTTCTTATCTACTTAAGACACCACCTGAGGACACTTAACTTTAAGTCAATACTTAAGTACTAAATATGTTTATGAATTACACTTAAGTATTTCTACCAAATTTAAGTAATACTTAGGGGACTTAAGTATAAAATATATATCTTAAGTGAATTCTTAAACTTAAGAATATACTAAGAAGTTTTATGAATCCCAGCCCTGGTCCTTCGCATTTTCTTCCTTCCTGATACAGTATATTCGGTTTCATTGGAAATTTTATTTTTTTACTTTCCAATACGTATGATCAACATTCACTTTTATTTGGTGTTTGCGAAATAATGACACTTTTTATTTCATTTGTAACAGTCCAATTTTGAAGATATAAGTACTGAGACAGTCTGCTTTTACGATTAATATCAGACTGCTCACTAATATCGGACTGCCAAAGGTAAATTTTAAGACTGCAAGAACAAAGGAATGACATCACAGCAATGGTTTAACTGTGTATGCAGAAACTATACTATACATGTATTATACTTTTATGTAAATAAGTTGAATCTGATTTGTTGAGGAATATTGTTTAAAAACATTAATATTATTACCCTCTGAATGATGAAACCACGCCCTCCATTAAGTCGTCAACACTGCTTTATAGCGGTGACATTAAAAAATAATAATAATAAATAAATAAAAATAACATGGACTATGCAGAATTCATGTGCACATGGTTCACTGTTATATGCATTTTTTTTTTATAAAGATCAGTATAACAAAATAAATATTGCAAGAAGTTGAGGTAACATTGAATTTTTTCACCCCCAAAAACCACAAAATCATAGTGACCATGTCCTGTGAAGCACCAGTAACACAGAATAAGTGACACTTAATGTGATACTGAGGAATCATGGTGAGGTTCACCACCAACAATAGCAAGGGCTTGTTCAAGTATATCAAAACAAAAACTTTAAAAAGCTTACAGAACTCAGTCACCGTTGAGGTCAAAGTGGTCGTTTATTTGTTAGAGTTTAAAAAAACTGATTTTAACATTGGAAGTGTTTGTAAACAAAACTCAATATTACTAAATTTAGAAAACAAACATCACATAAGGAATTCTCATCGGTGGAACCAGCAATATTAGACCCCGTGATTAATCGGTTTCATAGAAATTCAAATTCGTAGTTTACAACAAGGTGGGATTCATAAATCATATTCTCTTTTGTTTCGAGTGTGCTCGTGTTAGTGATGAATACTACTTTCAAAAAATCATCAACTTAAAAAATGATATAACATTATCTTTTCTTTTCCTGTACATGTGACTACTTTCAAATTAATTAACATCACTAAGAATATAAGGTGATGGAAAAGATAAATTGTTGTATTTAAAAGATTTAAAAATACTTTTATCTATTATAAGGCAGGTTGATTATTCCCTCATTGGATGTTTTATGCTTTGATTGTTGCAATGAAACAGTTATATTTATGAAACCTCTGAAACACACAGAACTAGAAAGAAAATCATATTGTTAGGTTAGTCGCAATTTATCAATTCAAAATAACAGTTTACGTGTGAAATTGTGAATAAAAAAGCCAAAGGCAAACTTTAAACGAAATCCATATTTAAAATACGTAGATAATGGTTTACAAATAAACGTAGGTAATCAAAGATTGCGACGCTCACCTCGAAGAAAGTTATCTATAATTAAGACAAAGACTATACTTAGGAATAGATCTAGTTCAAAAATTTAAGCTGATAATTCATCTAGCAAGATGAAGCTGGTAGTGTGCATTCCTGGATGCATCCCACAAGTTTATTATAGGATGGAACAGTAAATATATTAAAAAAAAAAGATTAAAAAAACATATGCCAAAAACATATCTGAAAAATATAGTCGGATAAAAAGTAAAAAGCAAGTCTGGTAGTGTGCATCCCAAAAAATCATAATTCATGCAGTTTTGCTCAAGTGGGACCTACTGGTCACTACTTTCAATAGACCTGCTCAAAAAAACTTTTATCCTGGTCACTCATCCAGAAAATATAGATCAGATGCACTATCCAATGCAAGTCAGAGCTGGGCTTTCAATGTGGGAACGGGCCTGCTCCAAAGACTATCTTTTTTCATTAATCTCCAAAATGTCCCTAGATGCACCATCCATTAAAGTCTGACCGAAGTACAGCTTATATATTATTAACTTAGGAATGGATCTGGTCCTAAAACTTTACCCTGGGATGCCGACTACACAACTAGTATACCATAAGCTCATATTGGCTTCATTAATGAAATATGTAGATAACGAACAATATTGAAGCTCAAAAGTCCATTCAAACAATACAAATCAGGAGCAGAGCAAACACGGACCTCTAAAACATCAGGGATGGGATCATGTGCCATGGAAGAGTGAGCATCCCCTTCCGACTGGTCACATCCGCCGTGTGCACCTTGTCATGATCGGTCGGGTGTTGCTAAAACGCGGAACGGAATACGGAACGGAAGGCGGAACGGAACGGAAAATATGATTCGAGGTTAATCACTTTAAATATAAAAATCATACCAGAAACAGTATACACTGTATACACTGTACACTATACAGCATATAAATTTTTCATATTTAATCCTTAATTATTAATATACGAGTTGTGATTTAGTCATGTTCATTCTCTTATTCATGAAGATCTCTGAACATAAGACAAAGCAAAGGGTACGGAAAAAACAAAACAAAACAAAACAAAACAAACAAACAAAACAAAACAAAAAAAAAAAACAAAACAAAACAAAACAAAAAACAAATAAAAAAAAACGGAACAAAAAAATATCTAATGCCGTGCACATATAAATGAAACATGTTGCGCTAAAATATGGATGAGTGGGAAAACTTCACTGAAGATCAATCTGATCAATATGAACGACAGGTATTCGATATCCTTATTAGCTGTATGAGCGAAAAATCCCATAAATTTCAATGCATATGTACCCATGCACTTCAAGCGGAGATAACGTACATATCTGCACCTCCCACCCCCATATTGAAATATAACAACTCTAATTTTTTTTCGCAAATAAGTAATTTCCCCATCCATCTATACGTTGTTCTGTGCAATCAGTTTGTGCTATTTTGCACAATTTGACCATATGCATGTATGCTATCTTTCTTAAATCCCCGTTTCACATCCCTTTGGATTGCATCAACACCCCTGTAGTGTAATTTTTTAAAAAAATTGTATCCTTTATTCTTCCAATAATCTATTGGAATTCCCTTGGGTACCAATTGCGCCCCGTTATTAGCAGACCTATTTTTGAATTCACATGAAGCAGAATTTATTCAAAATCTTTTACGTGAAAAGTAAAAACACTTGCTGTGGCCTTCAACTCGACATTTAGATATATCAACGACGTATTGTCAATTAACAATGGTTATTTCCATTCTTATGTCGATACGATAAACCCTGGTGAGCTTGAGATAAAAGATACCACAAAGTCTAACACATCTGTTTCATATTTGGATATTTTATTAGAAAATGACGTTAATGATAATCTAACATCAAAGCTTTATGATAAACGTGATGACTTTAACTTTTCAATCGTCAACTTCCCTTACTTATGCAGCAATATACCCTTATCATCTGCATACGGGGTTTATATCTCTCAGTTGATTCGATACGCCAGAGCATGCTCTACGTATGAACAATTTATAAAACGAGGTAAGTTATTGACAAACAAGTTGATGAAACAAGAATATCAGCAGTCTCGTTTAAAGTCATCATTTCGTAAGTTCTATGGTTGATACAATGACCTTGTCAGCAAATACAATCTATCATTATGTCAAATGACTTTTTTCATACTATTTGTTAGGCCATTATTTACACACTGAATTGTCGACGGATTTTTCAGTTATTTTCCGATCATGGCAAGGAGCACACGGCGGGTGTGACCGGTCGGCAGGGGATGCTCACTCCTCCATGGCACCTGATCCCACCTCTGATGTCTTAAAGGTCCGTGTTTGCTCTGCTCTTATTTTGTAATGTTTAATGGACTTCTGAGCTCGAATACTGTTCGTTATCTCCACTATTTCAATTATGCCAGTGATCGTTGTCTCTAACACAAATTAATATAATATACTCTGTGTTTCTCTTTCATTCCGCCTGTTTCAAAACAACATTTTCCCTTTCATAATCAATAATGATGATTTTGTCTTTGAGGAATAAGTCATTTTTTAAATTCAGATTTCGATGAGTGATAAATGAGACATTCTGATATATAATTTGGATGCGAGTCTAATTATTGTGCATTTTATTGACCATTGCATGTATATGCCGCATGTTTTGAAGGGAAAATCTGAATAAATCACATTGTTACAATAACTTTTAATTAGATATGAACTACATGTATTAGATAAAGAATATTGCTTCCTATGTCTGAATTATACCTGTGCATAGTGAAAAACGAGACATCATATTTTGCGTTCCGTTCCGCTTTCCGTTCCGCGTTTTAGCAACACCCTGATCGGGATAAACGGAAAAATCCGTTGACAATTCAGTATATAAATAATGGCATAACAGTAAGAAAAACGTCAGTCAGCATTTGACTTAATGATTGTATTTGCTGACAAGGTCATTGTATCGACCATAAAACCTTTAAACGAGAATAGTGATATTTTGTTTCATCAACTTGTTTGTCAATACCTTGCCTCGTTTTAGAAACTGTTCGTATGAAAGCATTCCATTAATAAATACTCATGCATACAGGTCTAAAAATTTAAAAATTCATGGCTCTTTTCAATATGAACGCTTTTCATTATACATTATAGTAGTTCACTGCTCAGAACTATTGCTCTAGGTCTATACTGTGATTTTGGAATTTAAAGTAACTTTACACAGATTTAAACCACAATAGGCAACAAGAAATTTATACAGTTGACAGACAAATTCATAAGAGTTCAAAAGAATTTGGTACAGTTCGGACAAAAGATTAAGAGCCAATAAGAGGATTCAAGCAAGTATAAATGAATACAGTTTAAGGAAAGCAGACATACTAGTACATGTACCTGTGCATACAGATAATTTACTATGGTTTAGAGGATTCAGTTAAAGGAGGATGACAACAATGTATCACATAAATCTTTTTGAATTGGACGGATTTTATTGACAAGTTAGCTTTAAGTTAATTTGTAGATCTATACATAACAGTTTACTAATTTACAGAAGTTAGGACTCTGATTTAATATCAACCAAGTCACTTAAAACCTCCAAATCACGTGACACAGGCGTCTTCAAATTATCACTGATGCGGAAAATTTGTATACAACCTGTGGAATCCCCTGTAGCAATCAGGTTGTGTCTGAAAGGAAAAAAAAACATTTTCTTAACAAGATCAAAGAAAGCAGTGGTATTTATTTTATATATTGAAATACAAGTGTTAAATGTAAAATGAATGCATTAGGTCATAATACTCACCTATATTAACCATGAGCTTGACAAAAGAATCTGTACATGTAAACCAGATAAATCAAACCCCATCAAACTAAAGGCCATGATTTAAACAATTCTAATTTACAGTGTTTTGATGTTCAGTGTTAAATTTACAAATTGTGACCTTCTCCTTCTTGCAAATGTCAACATTTATCTGTACAAAAACTTTGTTACTCAATTTTGGCCCAAAGTTAATTTGTAAGGTTAACCTTGAAAAAATTTTAATCCAAATTACAAGGGAATGCTTGCATATAAATGCCTGTATTCTGCTGTAAACTGTCATCTACTGTAAAATGCCTGTTTTCTGCTGTAAACTGTCATCTTGCTACCTTGATAAGATGATTTTTAAGGATTTTCCTATATATACAAATGTTTTATGCAATCTGATCAAAATCGGATCTTTGTACGCTCCGAAATCCTGATGGTTGCTGTACAGCGACCATCAGAATTTTGGATCATAACAAAGATCTGATTTTAATCAGATTGATATTTTCCACTATAAATTTCCTTATAAAACTGAACCCTTACTGGTCCCCACTCTAGCCTACACTGTAAGGCATCAGGATTTGAATGAAACTGAATCTTCACCACATGGAAATGCTTGCAAATTATGACGACTTCTCCTATAAATGACTATATGTAACTTTGACCCTCCATTGTGGCCCAGTTCTAGCCTGATGGTCCTGTCTGGAACAAACTTTAATCTAAAGTACATTACACAAGTTTATTTTCATACATGTACGAACATGACTAATTGTGGCGTTGTTTTTCTTTGATAGCTTTTCAATTTACAGACAGATCGAACCGCCGAAATATGGCTGAAATATTGCCGACTCGGCGTAAAACAACAATAATCAATCAACAGACAGATCGACAGATTGATGCTGGCTACTGTTTGTTCAGAAAAGTTCACTTTGACTCAAGTAAGCTTTTAAAATATTTCAGAAGAGGAAGATCCAATATCATCATAAACTTCATGAAAAATGAAGCAATTCAAAATGAATGTTTCAAATCCACCATAAAAGATTCACCTTAAGCTTTTATGTGATGACTGATGAAAAAACATACTTATCTCTGTTTAGTATGATAAAATCAGCTAAGTTTTTTTTTCAATTAAATTTTACACACAAATAAGCAAGACAAAATATTGTAATTCCATGTACCAGAGTTTATGAAGGCCTTGACATTTCTCATCATTGGTAAATCAAACACTCTTATTACATTTGGATAACCTTTTTTTGATTATAACGAGTTACATAAGAAATGTTTCAATACTGTCAACTGAGTCGACATAAACCTTTGACCTCTGAATTAGGAAATAATTAGTGGTCTTTATATTTTGTTGTTGGTAACCTTCCATTACTATCATCTTCAAATTTCAAGCACAGATAATTTAGGATTTACTTACAGTAGTCAAACAGACTGGTCTTGACAGTGTTTAAACAGTAATTTAAATGAATACATGCAAACATATGTCTACTTACTGATGAGGGTTGAACTGACAGGTAAGTACAGGTGCTTTAGTGTTCCCTATCTGCCCGCCTGCCTCTAACTTATACACAGGGACTGGCTGATTCTGGGTCAGGTCATACAGTAAAAGCAGCCCAGTGTCTGTAGTGGCTGCAAACATGGCTGGACGACTGAATGACCACTTCACTGAGTAAATCACACCCTCTCCTGGTTCAATGGTCATGATTGGCTGTTTCTGAACAAAGTCAAATTTTAAATTCGTATGTAGTATGTTAAATTTTTAAAATTTTGCTTAGCATGACCAAAAAAAACTTATCACAATGTTTCTCCCTAAAAATGCAGGCAATGAGACAAAGTTAAACAAAACTGACTTGGAAATGATGATCAGTCAGAGCAAACTGAACAACAGAACTAGTTTTTTCACATTAAACTAAGAACAGGGCTCCAAAAGTTTTGTTCACATGAAATAGAATTTTAAAAAAAAACTAAATTACAGATTAACAAAAATTAAAGGAGAAATACCTGAAGCATGTTATATAAACGTAATGTCTGGTCCATGGAACAGGTTAGAAAAGCATTCCTGTGGAAGGGAGAGAACTCTGTTGAATACACTGGCCCATAGTGATAGGCATATGTGAAAGTCACAGGAGATCTTAGTTGGACAGATGATATAATATTACCTAAAATGAGGAAAAGCATGCATAAAAAACTCTGATCTACCCTTAACAGCCTTGCTTTTTTAAATCAAAATTCTTTTCTTTAAAAAAATAAAAAGATATAGAGTTTAATTGTAATTAGACCTGTTGAGTGAATTTTACATAAGCCAGGTAAGCTTTCATAATATGCAAAAAGTCACAATGCCAACATGATACACATATACGCAAAAAAAAAAAATCAATGATAATGCTTCTAGATAGTCAGAAAATACATGCCTAGAATTTGTTCACATAACTATCAATTCTTTCCTTTGGGATTCAAATAATGAAAAGTAGCATATAAATATACTACATCTAGAACAAGAAACCCAGAAAATGTTAATAATGCATACACAGACATGGTGGTGAGTCATCTGAAAGCGAAAGCTCCCAATCTCCAAGCAAAAATCATTTATATTTTAATTATTAATAATTATTACTGTCTTGAAAGAAACAGATACTTTTAAATAGAATTATTTATAAATACACATACATGTACAAGTATGTGCAATTTAGTCATCCATAAAATAGCACACAATTTTAGTTTCAGAACATTTTCCCTTTTCAATCTGAGATTTTGATTAATTTCTACTCTTCTACTGGTCAATGAAAACTTTATATAAATGTTGCTTTTAAAGATTATACTTGTATATATGTGACATCGCCTGTCTGTCTCCATATATGTCAATAATCAAAATATTTGGTATAAAAATATTTAATTTTTGCTTTTAATTTAGATTTTTGGTGATTTGAATACCTGCAAAACTTAAGACCTTCGACAGTGAATAAAAACGGGAAAATAAGTTAAGCACGAAAACAGTTTTTGGTAATAATTAATATATCTCAAATCAGAACAGAGCTTTAATTAATAATTAAATTGCTGGTGTCCTATGACACAAAACATGGCCATCCAGTCTTTTCTTTACAATGGTTCTTTTTAAAGATCTTTTTATATATATTATATATGTTTGAACTTGCTTGTGTAATACACAATATTTTAAAATGTGAAACAAAATTCATGAAATGTTGATATTTATGTCTGATAAATCTGCACTGGTAGAGAGAGCTGATTGAATCTTTAGAAATATCATACATGTTTATTACATTTTTTTCAACAGTGAAATACTGTGATTTATTTATTCACTGAATAAAAGGGATATTCTGTCACAGTGTGAAAGGATACCAAAGTGATATTCTGTCAGAGTGTGAAAGTATATCAAATTAAGTCAGTAAAATATAATTTCTGGCCTGTCATAAGATAAAGATAGTAATTAAACCATCTTGATAGAGACTAAAACTGCCAATTTCTACCCAAATACATGTATGTTGCTTAAGTCCATGTTACGATGTTTTCAATCTCACAATTGCTAAGTTATGATGTCTCAACTGCTCAACTATGATGTCACAGCCTATGATATTGTGTTAAGAAAAGACAGAGGCAAAGGGAAATCAAAGAAAATGTAACAAACAGAAATTCAATGTTTTGTAGTTGGATGTGGAATTTACTTCACTCGTGAGACAGGATATTTTTTTATTTTCACTCATGCTTCACACTCGGGAAAATATCAAAAAATCCTGTCCCACTCGTGAAATATATTCTATATCCAACCAAAAAACATTGAATATCCTCTATATATACAACAAATCATTCTAACTATTTTATTTCATAAATAACAAACACTACATTCAATACAATCACTCATATATAAATATATAGTTATAATAGTATCACTTATACAATTGGATACATGATTGTGTGAACACTGCATTCTTACCATCTCTGATTCGATATGTTTCACTGCCACCTAAAGGTTAGACAACTCTTTAAAACAATACTCCATGTACCTTCCCCTTTCTTTATTCAATCACTCTTAACACATCAGACACAATAAACAGGAAAACAAAAATGTTCTAGAAATTAAAGTTGAGATCTAAAGATGAAATTCTAGCATAAATTTATAAAGTTAAAAAAAATTCTCAATCAGAAGCAAGAGAGATAGGGAGGAAAAAAACTTACATAAAAAATAAATATACATACTTCCTGCTGGTTCTCCATGTGCTGACATGGAACATTTAAACACTGCTCCAGGCTCAGAGCCAATCACAAAACTCTCCTTATTCTCTGCATTGTATGAGATACAGGTCACGCCCACCTCCTTGTCACTTCGCATGCTCCGCGATTTACGCAATTGTGTGGGGAGATTCATGTTCATCAAAACAAAACTACAACAGTTGTGATTTGTTTTCATTAATGTTCACCTACAATACCTGTTACTTAATTCCCGGAAAATACAGTGTTTAATAATTGTGACTTAATTTATACTAAATGTATAAAAGTTACTTAATTGTACTAAAATACAATTGATTATGGAATCTTTTCATTACCAATGCCTAAAATAAATACTGGTTTAAGAACATGAAAATATACATTTCACAATCTCTGTTTTGTATTCTCTTATCATATTCATGTATAATATTTAAAATTATTTCAAATCTAAGCCACACATTTCAAGACAGCAAATAGTCTAAAATGTTCATATCATATTGTGTATTTTAACTTCTATTTTGATATATACTGTTCCATAAAAATCTTACCCATTATGCAGTTCTATCTGCTTTGTCTTCCTGTCCATTTTCCAAACAAGCATTTTACCGTCACTGCTGACACTGACAAGCTGTTTAAAAACATCAAACATTTACTGATACCAGTATTTGGATTAATCTGCTTTGTGCTCCAAAATGTTCCACCTCTTCCAAACAACATATCAACAGTTCAGGGTTTATATCTCTAGGCCTTGTAGGATACAAAATTTTACCTTGACACTACATGAATTTCATGAGCATGAATAGCCATGAAATTTTAAAATATGGTCATCATGACTTCAATTAGGTCTACAACGGACTTCTTTCTCATGATGCCTCTACTGACAATGTTTTTTTTTTTTAATTCGGAGTCTTACAGTGTGCAAATATTGAATGATATGAATTCCATTAGCTGACTTATAAACGGAAGGATGCAAAACAAACATCAGCTGACTCATCTATAACAAGGCATAGAAAATATGACTATCCTTACTTCCAATAATAAATTCTAGACATGTCTAATCATACCAAGTATTTGTTCTTTTTAAGGGACGATGTGTCTGGTACCCATGTGACCTTAGAAACTGGTTCCCTGTGCGAGTCATCACCAAGTCCAGAAGAGGTCAATACCATGTCATCATCCCGACTCAAGTCCCACACAATCACAACACCTATAACATTTGTAAATATTTCTCTCCAGAAAACAAAACATTAAACCTTTATAAATTTTACAAATGAATGTATATACATGTTTCCATCAGTAATTTTCTTTGGTGCATGTTTTTCATATGTCTCACCATTATACGTTCCTCCAGCTATCAAAGCTGGATTTGTGGGGTGGAAAGCTGTACACATCAGACAACTTGATACCTCGAGAGTTGTGTCTGGTTTGTTTTCGTCAAGATTGCGCCGTTCTAAATTCCATGTACAAAGTGATGTTTTGTGAGTACACCAGTCTTCATGATCAAATCTCCCATAGCTTAACCTTGTTAAGGCAGGATGCATGCAAACATTCAAAATATAGATAGTCAAATTCTAAAGTGTTGTTAAAATTGAGATAACACTTTGTTGTTTTAATTCTGTTATAGATGTACTTTTATATTACAACAAAAATGTTGACAAACAAAAACAAAATAAAAAAAAAAGCTTGAAGGATACGAAGCAGCAATAACTGCCCCTGTTGAGTTCCAAGATAAGCCTGTGATCTGAAACTAATAAATAAAGTTCTGGTTCATGAATATGATTAAAATTGATATATATCAAATTTTCATTTTCATTTTCTTATTTTAAGAAATTCTTATTCATAATAGAATAATATATTTTCAATGATGCTCTTCTATTGTTTTGTTACCTGTCCTTCATGTGCAGCATTTGAGAGCTTGTGGATGGCTGACATTGTGGAGGAACCTTCATCCCAAGTCACTTCATAATCTATCAATAAAATATGCATGTCTTACCAAATATACATATAATATTCTTCAATCATTTAAACTTTCCGAATAAAATTGTCTGTTAAATTAAGAATAAATATATTATTCATGTAAGTTTTGCAATTGATACATAATTTTACTGTTTATTTTTTTCATTCCAAAATGTAATACTAAAGTTAAAAACAAATAAAATTTCACAAAATCTTACTTCATGAAAATAAAAAAAAAAGTATGCAAAGCAATCTATCAAATATATACTCACCATCAAAGGCATGGCTTTTTAAGTTCATTTCAAGTTGTTTATGCATAACAGGTTCAACTCGCTGTAAAAATTCTGCCAGCCTTCCAGAATCATCCTTTGCAAAGCCTGTAAACTTATCGCTGTCATCTTCAGTCTGGATCTAAAATAAAAATACACTGAACTTGAAATAAGCTACAATTTAAATTAAATACAATGTACTATCATTAAATTTATTTTATCCTATGGATCTGGGTTTTATGATTCTTTCTAACAGTGTCTATGATTTAACAAAATATTCAGTTACTGTGGCAGATAACTGTAATTTGCTGATGTTTTATATTAAATGTTTGTGTATTTAGAGAGTTTCAAATGTCATATGGCAGATAAATTTTGAAGCTAGTACAAAAAATCTTTAAAAAAACTAACCCCCCCCCCCCCCCCAAGAAAATGTGTGAATTTTTCCTTTATTATTATATGCATTGATTAATTGGTTGAAAGTCACACAATAGCTGTAAAGGGTTTGTTATTACATGTATTAAATTGGAGCCCATTTTCTTGAAGTTTTGATTCTCAAAAATTGAAGAAAGATTTTTTTTCCCTTCTCTTTTGCTGCAGTGCAGCAATGTATCTCAACTGTGGTAACAGCCTTTCCCAAGACACAGTTTTATACAATTTAATCAATAAATGTATATGTTAGAGAAATGTAAATTGCTAGGGCTTCTCCTTTTAGACTAAGGTTAAATTCTTTCTTTCGAAGAAGGTTCAAGTGATCATTGTATTTAGAATGATCAAGGCCTCACTGAACTAAATATTAAGCTATCATACAATACTCGAGTTACTAGTTCTACTAAGCCCTTACCCGAAAACACAACATAGTGGCATGCATAGTCTTAAAGAATTCAATCTACCAACCTTTACAGTTTTGTATTTAATTGATTGGCACGCCACTTCTTCAAACACAAGATCTGCGGTCTGACAACCACTACTGGCCAAAGATCTGCGTAAAATTAAAATGAATTAAGACAGAGAAAGTATCATTTTCTTCAAATTACTGTAGGCTTAGTGTAGGTAAACATTCAATTTTATCACACAAGAAGAACATCAATGTATTCCAACACCAGTTTACCTTTCTTTCTTCCAGTTTGATTTAAATGTTACTGCTTCGAGTGTAATATCAGTAAACATATTTATGGTTATGATTTTTAACTTTTGTTTACGTTAGCCACCATCACCGGAATGTGAAATTGAGAATTTACTAGATCTCGATCCCGAAGCAAATAGCACAAAATGTAAAGGAGAGACTTCTTTAATCAATATAAGGTACATGTACATGTATTGGTCTTTACAACTAATAATGATAACACGACCCAAAGTCAAAAATTGAGGATTTGTCTCAAGGACCAATATCATAATACATTTTGCCCCTGTGCGGGGGTCATCATGCATGGTAGCCACACTGGTACATCTACATGTATTTCGAAGTCGAAGTTACTTCAGAAAATAAAAAAAATGTGGGCATTTCGAAGTCGAAATTACTTTAAAAAAAATAAACCAACGTGCATAGAAGACAAACATGTTTCAAGTATACAATTAGATAACTCTTTCTCTCTCTATCGTTAAGAAATATTTTTTTTAAAATCTCATTTTAATCTTAATTTAATTTTAATTAAAATGGACGGTTGTAATAGCGACAAAAAAAAGAATTAAAAATACGTTTTCATTTGTACATGTAAGTGGAGAGAGAGAGAGAGAGAGAGAGAGAGAGAGAGAGAGAGAGAGAGAGGAGAAAACCAAAGGCTTCGATCAACCAGAGTGCATTCTGCACCCCCACACCCCTTTGAGTTTTCAAATACATGTATTAAATAAAATGTAGTCTATCAATATTACTTAAAACACGAATAGTGAGTTTATTTTGTGTCATACATAATACTTTTAAAAGAGCTCTCTAGACTACTTCAGCGAAATGTTAGTAATAATAGTATACATAATAGTTTGTTCAAAGTACGTGTAGGTTCGAGTATGAGCGATTTAATCTATCAATGATTTAAGTCCTGGGGTTGAGAGTGAATACAGAGCAGGTATGCGTTTCTTTCAGAAAATTAGCATTGATTGTGCACTCCACATTGTTCAAAAACAAGTACCAGAGTTCATGTGACTTTTTATCATTAAAGTTATACAGCCGGGGTGTTTTTAGTGGCAACTGTAAACTTCATATAATTTCCAACTTTTCTTTTAAATCAATAGGACCGATTATTCTACTGTTTACAAATGATAGCTAAGCTGAAGCAGAAGTTTTGTTCAAACTTTTTGTTCACAAAAATCTATACTGCGTGTGTTGTCTTTTCTGAAGACTTCAGAAATTTAACTCTCCAAGAATCTTTAAAGCAATCTTGTCACAAAGCATTCTTAGTTGTTTATACGGGAGGGGTGCTTTTAAACTCTTCTCTTGAAGCACCGGGCAAATGAGAGAGAGAGAGAGAGAGAGAAATTGAGAAATGAAGCCTGTATGAAAATTGTTCAATGTAAATGTTCAATTGTTAAAAGCATGGTCCTGAGGCTAGAAGGGTAATACAATAGGCATCCTTCTTTAAAACATAAAATAGGCATCCTTCTTTAAAGCATAAAATAAATATATTTTGTTAAAATTAATCTTTTTTTAAAGAAAAAAGAGAAGTCATTGATTTTATTACAAATGATATATTGTGTTTTTCAGAACCGGGTTAGATAAGTAATGCTTTTTAAACTGCACATAGAAGAGATCAAAATGATCTCCCCTGAAACTATATGTGATATGAGTACAGATAAGTATATGTTTGTATAGAAACTATATGTGATATGAGTACAGATAAGTATGTTTGTATAGAAACTATATGTGATATGAGTACAGATAAGTATGTTTGTATAGAAACTATATGTGATATAAGTACAGATAAGTATGTTTGTATAGAAACTATATGTGATATAAGTACAGATAAGTATGTTTGTATAGATTTTTTTTTTCAATTTATGGTCGTTGGAACTAAGCTATGATCGCCCCGCCGACAAATTTATATTTAACATTTTGGACTCTTAAGTCCTTCTCATCTAGCAATAACATAAACATAAAACATAAAAAACGACTATTTTTTGTCTGTGGTCGTACGAAAAAAAAAAAACAAACTGAAGCATATATTTTCGTTCTGTCACAGCCGATAAGCTATTGATTTTGTTAATCACTTGATCTAACTGCTTTACCCCGAGCATTGAACTATTTATGCGTTTACTATAACCATTACAAAAGGGGGATTGTCCGATCACTTCTGTATTAAAAAATTACAATTAATAACGTTTTCATAATCTTAGCAGGGGCATCTTTGTGGATAGGTATTTTAATTGCAAAACAACAATTAGAGTGCAGACTTCAGATAAAATTGAACTTTATTTAAAAAGTCATGAAATGCTTCCAGGTGCTTTCTAGCAAACATTATTCCTCCTACAAGCAACCAACCTGAATTCAATTATTCTCTTTAGTCCTAAAGGATGTATAAAAACTTGAACTGGATACCGTATCTATTAATAACATCACGATAAGCTTCTGAACAAACTTTGTTGACCAGAACCGAGTATTCCTCCGACACAAGGTTAATATCAAGTTTTATGTGAAGTATTCCTCCGACACAAGGTTAATATTAAGATTTACTTGAATTGTGTGTTGTGATTCTCCAGCTAAAATATAAACATACTTTAAAGAAAAACTTAGCACATTTTCTTGTGTGAACATTCAATATGTATGAGGACATTTGGGTCTGTAAAGTTAATATCGACATCATGAAAAACCGAAGTCTGATTTCATTTTACGTATAACTTTTAAGGAGAAAAAAATGATGTTCATCTTCAACATATCCAGTGTTACAAAAATTACATATTAAGCTTTCACTAGGTTCTTCATTTATATAACGGACAGTCTCTAGATACGTAACGGTTGAATTCCCATTAAGAATTGATATAGAGTCGCACGTTCACATCTATTCAAGTTCGTTTTCACATAATCTTCACATCCCAAGGAAGTTTTCAGTGTCTTGTATGTCCTCAGTTTTGATATCACACCACCAATTCATTATGTAAAGTTCACGCGCTCTGATCTAAGCATCCTCAATAGCAACAGTGGTTTCCAAGTTGATCCGTTATCTTCTTAACTTCTGCTGACTAGTTGTTTTTGTTCACAATATAATCATAATTGAACACTAATCACTATTTTGGTGATTAGATTACTATTTATAAGAAGACGATTTCATAATCGTACATGTAGGATGCAGCTCCAATGCCTAAAACGGTGGACTCCAATTAAGGTAGTACTGTAAAGCAGGGTGCTGGATATTTTCAATAGATTGTGCCCCGCATAGAGGCATAGTAATCCAATATCAACACAACTGCAGCAAATCCAAAGTCCTTGAGATGATTGGTCTTGTTAATAATGCTATCTAGCGCTCTTCCTCCTAGTTTGGATAATGGCTACTGTTTGGAGCAAAATTGCTCTTTTCTTGGAAGAGAATTCCAAGGTAACGGCAGGTGCAGACTGTTTCTAGTTGTTTATTCTAGCTGTTTATTTCCAACTTTATATGCATAATTTATTTGTTGTGTTTTTTTCTGTCAAAAGTGTCGGCAACAATTCGAGAACTACATGTATGTCGTACGCGTAAAGCAGAATTAGAATCTTAGTTTCGCCCATGGTTACTCCAAGATAGTGAATGTTGATTTCATGAACTAAGTCATTTGCAAATATTGCGAATAGTGTGGGTGATAGGTTACAGCCTTGTTTGACACCAGTTGAACACTAGAACCACTCAGTTAGTTTCCCTTTATTTTCAGACTTGAAACTGAAATTGTGTAAATAATTTTAATGGAATTGAGACTTCGCCATCAATATTATTTAGCATCATCTTGTAGAGGAGCATTTCCCGGTCAATTAAGTCAGAATACTTCTTAAGGTCAATGAAGTTTTTGTAGACATTTTTGTTGTTTTGTACAACACAACAATACTATTTAACACAAATACATGATCTTCACAAGATTGCCCTTGTCGGAAACCATTCATATCATCTGTCAGTATGTAGCCGTCATCAAGAAATTCTGTCAGTCTTGTGTTTGTTATGGTTCTGTAAAGTTTGCTAATACAGGACAGGAGACTTATCCCTCTGTAATAATCATGATTATGTGGTACTCTTTTGTCAGAGCTGGGGTCCTGGAGGACATATATTGGCTTGCCTTCATGTAGATGGAATCATACAAGTACCATTGTATCAAATTTCAACTGGAGTAATTTCTGTAGAATTCCTGTCATTGATGGTCTTCTGTACATCACAAGGTATTTTGTCATATTAACCATTTGCAGATCCATTTTTCGACTTGAGGCCCACTCTTGCAACTTCCTCAACGGATTGGCTCTGTTAGGTTGTTAATCTGCTTAGTACAGGGAATTAGTCATGTTGGTTTCGAGCACATCTGGATTCAAACTTAAACTCTGTCATCAGGCATGTTATATATGTTATATTTACATTCAGTATAATTTTCTTTGTGAAATCTACAACATTCAGTCTCCTATAACACACACGGAACCTTGTCACTGCGCGGTAGAATATTGATTGATTGTATGTTGTTTTACGTCCAGTTCGAGAAATTTTCACTCATATAGAGACGTCACCATATACCTGTGAAGGGCTTCAAATTTAGACCTTTCCTCGGCACTCAGGGCCATTGAGCAGTGAGGGTTCTTTATCGTGCCAACGCCTACCGTGACACGGGGCCTCGGTTTTTAAGGTCTCATCCGAAGGACCCGCAACTTTCACTTCAAAGTGCCGAGCGCTTGGCGAAGGAACAGTTGCTACCTATTTTTTTTTTTTTATCGACTTAGGTCAGTCGCGGCCGTGATTCGAACACACGACCTTCCGATCACAGAGCGAGCGCTCTACTGACTGAGCTACCGTGATGGCGCGCGGTAAAGTATACAGTAGGACCTATATGCATTTTCAATACTCTAGGAACACCAAAACGTATATTGTTTTGGTTCAATATAATTAAAAACAATTAACCCTATTAAATTATTGTAAAAAAAAAAAACAATTGTACGTTTGAAATTAATTTGTTATTTTTTCCCTCGCAGTATTCATTTACGATATTCAACTTTCCATGTCACAAGGGCTCTTACGTTTGTAAAGCACACCGGTTCTGAAAGGCGCTAAATTCATAAT